GTGGTTGTCTATCTCTGTGTCGGCCCTGTGATGGTCTGGCAACCTGTCCAGCGCGTGTACCCCGCCTCTCATCTTATAATAGCTCCACCCCATTTCCCTAAGTAGGATAAGCAGTTAAGAAAATGGATGGATGTAACCAAGGCACCCTGCCAAGTTTAATAAAGATGCCTCCTGTCTAATTCCCAATAGGAGATGTTGGCCACAGTAACTGGCCATATGCTTTGGCCGGACAAACCTAACGAGCCATGCCATTGACTAAACAGAGAGGTTCCACATCCATCAGGAAACCCTTGCATGTAACTAAGAAGATACGATGCTTGACACTTACTTATTTCTCCCCTGTAAGCTTCTGTGGTTTAAAAAAGGGAAAAGGTAAAGAATTGTTGGGGTTGAAAGGAAAATTGATCAATAAATGTGTTTATCTAAATAAAGAGACACAAGTAGAGATAACAAGCCAAATGATTTTAACTTGTGTAAATACAATAAATAAGAAATCCCCCAATTTTTTTCCATTGTACTTCAAATAATGCATTTTAATGTAATTTTTTTTCCTGATATTAAATAAATTAAAATCTAATTTCTCTAAAAACAAAATGTTCTCAGGTGTATGTTTAAAAGGAAACTTAACCTTATCCTTGGCTGGACTAATTTTGGTCTCCAAATATGCAGGTTTTTCAGGCCTGTATATTATCAGGCCTGATTGGTCAATTTTCTTGAAATCCCAAGGATTCTTTCTGCACATATTGCTCATTATTCCCCATTGCATATAGATTGCATAAGGGATTCGAAGCATCCATCCATGCATCCATGCATCGATCTTCTTATGCTTGTCCAGATCAGGGTCACAAGGATGTTGGAAGTCTAACCCAGCTGTCCTCTTCTATACACCATACATTTATTCTGCTGGCATACACAACACAAAGTGGGACATGTATTTAGTGTTTATAAAGGGAGCTAATTCAACAAGCTCCAACAAAAATGCCAGCTTATAAATATGCAAAAAAATATGCAAGAAAACAGTTTCCACTACATGTGGAAACAGGAAACTTGTTAGTTACTGCTTTTGTACTCAAAATTGACTTACAGTCACACGTGAAAAAATAAAGTACATCCTCTTTTCAATTCTCACGTTAGGGAGATAATAAACAATCATCTGATCCTCATCAACTTCTAAAAATTTTTAAATACAGTTTGTGTTGAGGAACAACTTGCAACATATTGCACTGTCATTTATTTAACAAAAACTAAACTATACCCCATGCTTCAGTAGCTTGTTGGGACAGATGGCCTCACATTGGACTCAACAATACTTTGCTTATAAAGGAGCTCGTGGTTGCCTCAATTACTGCAAGGTGCCCACATCATCACCCCTTCAGGTATGAGGTGTTTGTGCCGATATGCTGTGGTTTGGTTTTGACAAACGTGGTGCTGTCGATTTTGCCCAGACATTTTCAATGTCCAATGAACATTGTTCCAGAAGTCATGTGGTTTGCTCAGATGTAATTTTGCTAATCTAAGCCATTCTCCATGTTCTTTTTAGAGAGATTAGGTGTTTGAAAACCCTTTAAAATAAGCTGTATTTGTTCAGTCTTTCTAATTTTACTGTTATGAATTTTAACATTTAACTGTTAACTGAGTAGTTTCTCTGACCTTG